TGAACTTCTATTATCATACAGGAACGAGTTACAGATAAACCTACAAGCCACCTCGTGCTTTAAAAAATAAATTAATTTCTGTGTCATGTTTTATTAATAAGGAAAGTGTGTACATTCCTTCTTCCAAGCATCTTTTTACATTCCTTCTTCCACGCATCTTTTTACATTCCTTCTTCCACGCATCTTTTTACCACATTCAGATGGACATCGGTGGAATCTCATCTTCATCGTAGATATAATGACTTCAAAGTAACCCTGCATGTTCAGAGCAGTAAATAAAAGCTCAAACAGAAGACTACTTACGAGTAATAGTTAGGTAAATATTCGTCTAGAGATTCTCTTACCTGTCGTGATCCCTGCTAAATGCAGGTTTTGGCCCTTGCATCCCTGAGAACAAAGATTTGAAGTCTGAGGGGAAGCTTCTTCGTTATGAGAAGGGTGTTCCAAAATGTATATGCACAACTGGTCCGAATCCAACTCCTTGGTTTGGATGTCTAAACATTCACAGTAAGATGCCCCCTACAGGAGAAAATGACTGGCGGCTATCAGGTGGCCTAAGCTTCAAGCTTTCATCGAAAACTTCAGACTGGGATGGCTTATGGCTGTTTCTATCAAGCATATTAGGCTTCTTAATTTATTTATTTTTTGTTAGGGACCATGACGCCATCTGATCTCTTCCTTCTGCATCAGGCCTATGATGTTGTAGGGGTTGATTCTGCAAAAACAGAAGCCATACAAATATAAACCAAATCTCTCTCATTCTTAACGACTTCCAGCCATATCGAGTTCAATGTGCCAAAAATCAAAACTTGACAAGATAGTTAACAAATTTTATTGCATCTCTCTCATCCTTAATCATGTCCAGAAGGCAGAAACGTGGGGTTCAATGTGCAAAAAATTAAATCTGAATAGGTCAATTAACACATTTTATTACATAACTCTCATTCTTAATCATACCCAGCCAAATTTGAGTTCAGTGTGCCAAAAATATTTATAATTTGACAAGTCAATTAACAAACCTCATGGCATCTCTCACCTTCTAGATTATATCTAGCCCTATCGAGTTCAATGTACTAAAATCAAAACTTAATCAAACAGCTGACAGATTTCACCACACATGACTCCTACTTGAGCATGTCTGATCCTATCAAGTTCAACATGCGAAAAGTGCTCTTAATCTTTTCTTCCCTTTTAAAGTTTCTATTCTCAGAAACAAACCATTCCTTACATTTATCATTCCATCCTTTCAACAAGGGTTGGCAAAACTGTGCATAGGAATCAGAAATTCAACTAAATTGAACTCAAAATTGTTCATAGAGAAGGAATTTCAGCTATAAATATAGAACGAAAGGACAACTCAAAAAAAAAAAAAATTAATATATTTTACTTCTGAGTAATGGAACATAAAGAATATATAACATACCAGGCAAAAGAATATTAAGGATGCCATGTAATTAGGCTGTTCATCTTTCTCCTCTATAGCAGAAAATTTTGCCTTCAACTTTTCTTACTGTTTCTTGAACGCTGCATTATGCAAACATCCATAATGATTCAGAAATATGAGATTAAG